ATCATGCGTACCTGCTTAGACATATGTGACTAATCCCTTTTTGGTTTTCTCTTTTGATGTGAATTACTAATTTTAAGTACACGTAGCCTTTTTATATTTATAAAATTTTTATCGTTTCCTTATAAATATTTTTTCATACTTATATTTTAATCACATCATCTTACATGAATATGAATATTAAAAAATGAAAACCAAGCATTTTCCCATTTACATATGTTTAGGAAATCAACATACAATAGTTTTACATGTACCCCTATACATAAAAGATGTATTCATTGAGGGAAATATATTTTTTGCGTGAGAGTAAAAAAATATATTAATAATTATGTTTTTATTTTAAATATCGCATATTTTGTAATTAAGGAATCTGAACTCGAATATCACTCAATTGCAGTAATAATAAAAAAAAGAAGCGTTTTAATAAACAATTGCTATCCTTTTCTCACCCAAAACAAGATGTGTTAGGTTTGTCATTATTTTGTTTTCGTTTCTTATAGAAAATAATTTAAAATGTTTAAGAAAAACTGATACCGACGCATAAATATACCTGGGAATTATATTTGATTGTGTAAAAATTAACAATAATTATTCATTTAATTAGAAAAACGATTGTTCTCATAAATGACCGCCATCCACTAACATACCCCACACGTCAAACTGGTTGGCGCCGGTGAATTAATACATATTCGTACCATCAAGATGTATACCATTTGTCATGCCTATATATGTGTGGATTTCTATTTTATCTAGAAAAAATTTACCAAACTCGTTTAAACTTAGATTTCTCTACCTTAAACTTTATGTTTCCCAATTAATTGTCAAAATTTAAATTAGTCTCTATGTATTCTTCTGTTAAAATGGTACAAACTTACTAAACATGAATCAATTTTAACATTATATTTATATTACTCTAAAGTTTGGATTTTTTTTAATATTTTGATTTAAAATTCATCATTAATATGAATTTTGATCTCTTTAAAATAAAAAGATATTATTGTTTCAAATCTATAAATTTTATGAACATGATTATTTTTAAATTGATGATCAATAATTTTTATTTTACATTGAAATAAGCACGTAAGTCTACTTAAAGTATAACATGAAACCATGTGCAGATTTCTCAAATGATTAGGAGTGATTTTACGATTTGCCAACGTTACACTAACACTTTGTTTGGTTAGAACACGTAATTTATCGCAGGTAGATTTAATAGATTTTGCCATGACTGCAATGAGCGTGAAGGGTGGAATCCAGGCCATTAATTTCTTTGCTCTGTAACTGCAGTTATAATATTTGAACAAGAAACCACTTTTCATTGTGTTTTTTTATACATAAAATTATTATGACAATTAATTTTATATTGATAATTATAAACTGATTAATTAAAAATGTTAAAATAAATATCCACAGCTTCTTAGAAGGATTTGTGATTTTGAGTTGTGTATGATGCGTAGAAGGAAAAGAATTTATGACGCGACCATTATTCATAACAGTAATGATTGCTATATATTTTGTGGATGTCCCAAACCTTATATATGGAGGTGATAAAAATAAGTTACATAAATAAGAATGGGTAATTTGTGGGGATGACTGAATAGAAAGTGGGTGTTTTAGTGAAGAGAAATTGGGAGTGGATTATTTGGCAAATAGGAAAGAAAGGAAGGAGCGTGGAGAAGAGGGGTTATTCCCTTTCCAGAATAGGATAAAAGGGAGAGAAAGAGGTTTTAACCGGCAAGGCAGTGAGGGGTAACCCAAAATGTCCGAAAGTAGGAGGGTAAGTAGACCTCTGCCTCTATTCTACTGTGCCTGTGGTTGGGTTTTGGGTTCTTCGCAATTGATGGTTTCTGATAAAGACCTCGCCCTTTTCATTACTGCCACTGCAACTCAACGCTTTTGTCCATGCACTACTCTTTTTCCACTTTTGCCCCTCTCATCTCCCCTCGGGATTCTACCAATCATCTTTCTTTTTCTTTTTACCTCTCTGTCATTCCCATTTTTACAACTTTATATTTCTATATTTAACAATTAATATTATGCGTCATTTTTTATAAGGTTTATTTTATATTCTATCATTATTTCTTATCACTGTAATCTAATTCAAATAATTTTTTCACTAAAATCATAAAAAGATAACAAGTAGTATCATAATTTAAATATACATAATTAATAAAATATTTTCCTTATTTGCTCTAACTTAGTAATTGTGGATACATGTGGAAAGGAGAAATGAGAGCATGCTACCGTTACTATGCTTACTAATAATTTTGTTTAGTAGTAAAGTGAAGGAATAAAGACATAATAGAATTAATATAACATTGAAAAAGAAAAACTAGTGTTTTCATATTTGGGGTGTGATATGTGACCCTTTCCGTCTTTCCTGTTGAAACCACACCTCAGCGAAAGTAAAACTGCACATTTGCGAATTTGGACGCAGTTAGTCAATTGTATTGCTTTTGTGCTGTGGAATGGCTGTTGTGATGATACGTCCTATGGGATAAAGTGGCACTCTTTAAATTTTTCTATACTAAGTTTATTTATTTTTTCAAAGATAAAAATATTTTTTTATTTTTTATTAAGTTATGTAACTTTTACATTAACCATTAAATTATGATTTTTATTTACTTTTTTATTCTTTTTAATAGCCATTCTTAAATTTTAATTTAAATAAGAAAGATACACAATTATAAAATAAATTTTATGTTTAAAAATAATCTCATTTTAAAGATTAAAAAAACTAATTTTTTGTTAAAATATGCAAGTTTGTTGGGCCAGTAATTTATTAACATCGATTATACTTCTGTTATTATAGCTTGATTTGCAATATTAGGTTGAACAGAATGAGTTAAATAATATTTGATTCTTTCAAAATGAAATATCAACTTTAAAAATTAGAGGGTGGGACTTGTAATTGTCAATTAACGTATTAATGATTAAATAAAATTTGCATGCGTATATATGGTATGCTATTAAGTTTTTAAATCTTAATTATTAACTTATAATCAACAGTTACTGTAATATGTTCTTTTATTATTTAAAGTGAATTCCTTGTTCTAAATGATATACACTTCTTGAGTTAATGCATCTACTAAAATTTATGTACTTTCTACGTTGAAATAATTAAATTAAACTTAATTTTCTTTTTAAAACTAAAACAATGTCACTTTATAATATAATAATTTGTTTAATTTCTACAACATTACACCAACAATAATTTATATACAGTAAATATTCATATAAAATTTTAGCATTTAATACCATTAATGTATTGAATTGTATAAATTTTTAATTTTTTTTTGCCACATATAACTTTACATTCTGTATAATATTATATTAGGTTTTAAAAATCAATAATATGAATAACTAAATTTTATCATCTCAAATATCAAAAAACGATACTTGTGTTTTAAAAAAATTATAAAAATACAATTTATTCTTAAAATATGAATAGCATTAAAAACTCATGCAGTATATGTTTATTTATGAATTTAGTCCTAGAAAATTGTCACTCAAATTAAGTAACATAAATTTCATTTTGTATAAGTCAAATAACACACATGTAAATATATTTTTTAAAGGCCTAAACAATGTATGTTAATTGTTCACCATCAATAACTTTCCAAAGTAAGATTTCATGCGATGCGATGACAATCCATTGAAAATCTAAGGATCTCAGGTGTCTCACTAAAATAAGGCATAATATTTAAATAAATGTTTGCTATCCGTGTATTCCAACAAGGACTTTAAGGTGATATGTAGTAGATATTTGTAATCATCTCTACCCTTTTTTATATATTATTTTATTGCATCTCTCTCTTTTGTATATAACGGAGACATTCCTTGCCAATTATACAATGCTGATAAAAATGTGTACGTGTGTAGTTGAAGTCCTCTTGGATACGAGTTTCGAAATCTTTCTTGATCAATATATAATTTGTGTAAAAAATTCTCTGAACAAATATCTTTTAGACAATCCTTTAATAAACATATGCATGACCTGAGCAATATATTCTCACTATAACTTTTTTCAGAAAAGAAAAACCATGCAGATAATTATTAGACAAAAAACTCTGCTATGTCTTCTTAATTATTCAGGTAGCTTAGTTAAGAAACGTAAAGAATTTTTGTTCGCAGGCATGAGCGAAGGTGGAAGTATGGACATCAATGATTAAACTAACGTGTTATATTAAAAGCAACGAATAACTCCAAATTTGTAAAGAGTGGCCTCGAGACTTTATGATATAGGCTATAAAGCATAAAGCTATTCATTAATTTACCAGTTGCATAATTGGTTAGCGAGGGTGATCTGGATTTGTCATTACTTTTTGTCTAAGAAAACAGCTAATAATGATGATAGGACCCTAATGGCAAAGTCAAAACTTGGGCAGGCAAGGCAATTGGCCGTTTCTAAAGCGAAAAGATGAATGCTTAAAAACATTATGCAACTTTCTATATCAAAACCCGTTTGTCTCTAACTTGTCCAAGGTTTTTTGGTTAATTGTCAACATTAACCACCAAAGCCTGCCAAATAAGAGCAATAATAATAATAATAATAAGGTACACCACATATGCATGATTCAGGTTCAGCACGAAGTAAAATTGAAAAGATTATACACCCAGGGTATCTGAACGTTATTATTTTTATCAATCATACAATAGATTATCATGGTTTCATTTATAAATTTGGGGCACCATATCATAATGCAAAAGAAAGTGCAATACTAGTGTTTTGGGCTCTTTGAATCCGTACCTGTAACAGTATATATACTAAAATGGTTGGAGATTGTGTGTGGAGAAAGAATGATAGGGTAAAGAAAGAAAATGTGCACCAAGTGAAATGGGAAGTGAGGTATAAGGATGAGGATGAGCTAATTAAATTTTTGTGGTGAATAAGGGGAGAGGGATAGGTGTGAGATTTGGTGAAGTAGAAGGGGACAGAATAGACATCCGCCCGGAAATACAGGGATACCGTACAGTCTTAAATACCTTTTATTCAGTTTGTGATATTTTATTGGTCTTTAACCAACAAATAACCTCACAAAGTGAGGCACTACCACTACTACAGTCTTTGTTCTTGTAGCCTTGTACCTTTCTTTTCTTTCTCTTTCCTCTGCCACACATCACACCCAATAGTCTCAGCATTGCAGCAACTGCAGCACTGCTGCAGCTTCAGCTTGCAGTCGAGGAAAAAGGGCCCAAAAAATAATATATACGTTTTTTGAAAAGGGAAAATAGATGAGTAAAGAAAATGGGATAAAAATTAAAAACCCATTTTTATGTGACCCCAACTTAAATCTCAATGAAAGCTTGATTTGATGATACCCCAAAATACATACCCATTCCATTCACTCATCATGACTCTACTCTTCCCTTCCCAGTCAATATATAAAGTAAAAGAAAAGAAACCCAAAAAAGAAACAAATTAGCAGAGAGAGTGATAACTCAGAGAGAGAGAGAGAGAGAGGGTCTCTTTCTTTTTGGAGTATTGGGTCACAGCCTCTTTTAGCAATGCCAAAGTTACTCAACAACACATCACGCTCTCTGAAAATGCTGCAGGCATGAAATCACTCATTGAAATCTTCCCCTTCTTCCTCTCTCAAACTTCTTCTTCCCACGCTCTTGTTAGATTCGTTAACATTGCGACCAGAGCTTTGTTCCTATGGGGTTGATCGATCTCAACACCACTGAGGACGATGAAACTCCATCTTCTGCTTCTTCTTCTTCCTCTTCTTCTTCTTCTCACTCGGGGATAAGCACTTCTGTTTCAACCGTGGTTGTTCCTTCTCCTCCTTCTGTGTGTTTGGAACTGTGGCACGCCTGTGCAGGGCCTTTGATCTCTCTTCCGAAGAAAGGAAGCGTTGTTGTGTACTTGCCACAGGGACACTTTGAGCAAGTTCAGGATATTCCGGTCACTGCCTATAATATTCCACCCCATGTGTTCTGTCGTGTTCTTGATGTCAAGCTCCATGTAAGTGCTTTGGTTCTACCCTTTTTCCCTTTCCCCGACTAAACAAAACCAATGTTGTCTGCAATTTGTCGGTTAATGATTTTTCTTTTTCTCTTTTTCACAAATTTTATATCTTTCTGCGGTTTTTTTATCTGGGTTTTTGTTCCTGTCCCCTTCTGAGAAAATCGACGATTCCTTCTCAAGTTTTACAATTTATGAATGGATGAGCACACCTTTCTGTTTCTGCTTGTGGTTTTTTCGGATGAGTCACGTGTGAAGGGAACTATTGGGTGGTGTTTTGAATTTTTCATGAAATTATGGTTGTGCTTTTTCTGGACAGGCAGAGGAAGGGAGCGATGAAGTGTATTGCCAAGTCATACTGGTTCCTGAAAGTGAGGTGAGACTTATCTATGACATTGATCTTACTTTGGTTTCCCTGTCTATGTCCATGATATTACGTGGGAAAAGTAGAAGCATACAACAACCTCTTATTGTTTTTTTAATTATAGGAATGAAAAGGAAAGGGAAAGGGGGTGTTAAATAGATTGTGTGTCTTTCTTAACTGATTGTAATTTTCATTTTGGTTGGACTTGGCATTTGATTATAGCAAGTTGAGCAAAGTTTGCGGGAAGGGGAAATTGATGCTGATGGGGAAGAGGACACTGAAACTATTGTAAAGTCAACAACACCCCATATGTTCTGCAAGACTCTCACAGCTTCAGACACTAGCACTCATGGTGGATTCTCGGTGCCACGTCGTGCAGCTGAAGATTGCTTTCCTCCCCTGGTAATTATGAATTATGTGATGCATTGAATGCTCTTGGCAATGAGACTGTGTTCACTTGTTTCACAGACTGTTTTTATTTGATTTAACCTATTTTGATGTCAAATACAATTTGGTATTGTAAATGTTTTGTTGTGTGGTGACCATGCCTGATTTCAAAAATTTTGCTCATGTCCTGATGTTGAATTCTTCGGAATGTGTTCGAATATGTCAATGGTAACCATTTAAATTTAAAGGATTGCTGTTATTTTTAGGATTATAGTCAACAGAGACCTTCACAAGAGCTTGTGGCAAAGGATTTGCATGGATTAGAGTGGAGGTTTCGACATATATACAGGGGTATGTCACTTGTTAGTATTCTATTTAACTGCCAGTTGACTGCTTGGAGGTTTTATTTTGTATATTTGCCTAAGCAGGGCAACCACGGAGGCATTTGCTCACCACTGGGTGGAGTGCATTTGTGAACAAGAAGAAGCTTGTGTCTGGAGATGCTGTGCTGTTTCTTAGGTATCATGACCACAATTCCTCCTATCACATGTGAACTAGTATTCTGACCTACAACTAACATTTATAACTTAAATCAGGGGTGATGATGGAGAACTGAGATTAGGGATACGTAGAGCAGCCCAATTGAAAAGTGCTGGTTCCTTTGGAGCTCCCTCTGGTCAGCAATTGAATCCTGCAAATCTCATGGATGTTGTTAATGCTTTATCTACAAGATGTGCATTTAGTGTTTGCTATAATCCAAGGTATTTTTCTCTTTATTCACTTGTGCAATCCCTTGGAGTAGTGGAGTTAGTGAAGGAAATATATTAATCTGTTACTTTCTATGGAATTCTGTATAGTGCTTTATGTCTGTATTTTGCATAAGATGGGGATGAGAATTCTTAAAGTTGTTTCATTATAATATCTAATGCACAATTTCCCATTTCACATAGGCTCCTTTTCTTTATTATGGTGCTAGAATGGAGATTTGGTTTATTAGAAGAAGACAAGATGTATTAAAGTTCCTAGATTTGTCCCATTAGTTATTGAATATTTTATTTTAAAATTTCCATCGCATGCTTTCTATGTTTTAATAAGAATATATTCAGACAAAAAGAGCAGTTAAGCTAGTAACAGTTGACCAGTTCCATACACTGAAAGGTTTTGTGCTGGAAGATCTCCTTTATGGATGTCATTTTTTTTATATCACTGCTTTGGTTTTTTTTTTCTTTTTTTTCCTTATTTCCATTTTGTTTTATTTGGGACTGACCTTGGTATACTATTGTAGTCTTATATAGCTCACTGTTCATTTGTAGGGTCAGTTCCTCAGATTTCATCATACCTGTCCAAAGATTCTTAAAGAGCCTTGATTGTTCTTATTCAGCTGGAATGAGGTTCAGGATGCGTTTTGAAACTGAAGATGCTTCAGAGAGAAGGTTTGTCAATTGTCATACTTGTTCTTTGCTACATATTGATAGCCTATCAATAACTGGTCATGGTCAAACTTCTGTTGAGCAGATTCACTGGACTAATTGCTGGAATTAGTGATGTTGATCCTGTTAGATGGCCGGGATCAAAATGGAGATGCCTACTGGTATGTCAACAGTGGTTCCTTCAAACATTTTCTTTAATATTTTTACTGTTCTTGTGCATGAAATTGTGTGGGAGCTGTAAGGCTTGATATTGTAACGATTATGTTGACTTCTCACCTCATTATGAAAGATATAGTCTATGCTCATCCTGGCATTTGCAGTTCATGATTTTCTAGACTATATTAATTCCACACTTCTACATTCTTGTGCTTTACTGGTTTCGGATATTAAACTGGATATGTAGATGGGACACATACTACTTGAAAGGCCCGCTTGTTCCTCATTTTAAATCAATTAATATCAAATTTTTGCTATGGACAAATGTCTTGTTTTTATTTTCATTTTTCTGAAGAATCTGTATACAAATACCAAGACCTTTTATTGTTCCATCTGTTTTTATTTGATCCTATCTTTTCTATTGATCGACATTTTACACATCATGTTTTTTTTAAGGTTTTCCTTCAGTTTAAATTTAGGTAGCTTCAATAATTCAATAAAAATTCCATGAATGAATTGGGCCTATCAACACTATAAGATATAGAACTTACGTGGATCTGCTTTCGAGCATCCGTGTTTCCAATCATAGAAAAATTTGGGGGAAAGAAAATATATAATATCATAGGTTTGTTTAAATAACTCGGGCCTATTGAGCTGTAATCCATTCCCCTTTGTTGTGCAATATATAATTCAGGCTGGCTGCTTGACTGTTATCATTGTTTTTTCAGGGTAAATCATAGTTTTCTGCACATTATTTTTTCAGACATTATTCATAATTTTTTGTGTAAAATTTCATTGATGTGTAATTTGACTATTTTGTACTTGTAGATTAGTGTGTGTTGCTTAGTGGTAGAAAACAGTGTATACTAAATGAAAGATTAGTGCACAAGTTTGATAGGAATCTTTTTCAGTCAAAGTTGACTTGTCTTTCTAAACTGAGTAGTAACTTTGGGGAGGTTCAGTACTTTACTCCTGCCAGCTGCTAATGTAATAACTTCGTTTTAAGTTATTCAGAATCCTATCTCACATACAGTAGATTAAGCTAGTTACTCGTGCAATCAATAAATTAAAGAGTTAGCTGCTAGCTACAAGCCCTTTTCTATATTGGCAGTCAGTGATTATCATCATTCTGAAGATTGTTATTTCTGCTGAAGTTTCAAGCATACCTTGGTTATGCATGTCAACATGTTTGCCGGCTTTAAAGGATTGAGTGCATTCATTCATAGTCAATGCAGTGGTTCCAGTATGTCATTACTGTATTGCTGATATGTTCTTTTCCTTTTTCTCCAGGTAAGGTGGGATGACATAGAAGCAGCTAGGCATAATAGGGTTTCTCCGTGGGAAATTGAGCCTTCTGGTTCTGCTTCCACTTGCAGTAACTTGATGGCAGCTGGTTTGAAGAGGACCAGGATTGGATTGACTTCAGCAAAGCTGGAATTTCCTGCTTCCAGTAAGTCACAATATGTTAATTGCAACAAGAGAAATGTTGACCTATATCTCTCCATGCAATAATGTTGATAATTTGTTACTCCGTACAGATGGGATTGGAACATCAGGCTTTGGGGAATCATTAAGGTTCCGGAAGGTCTTGCAAGGTCAAGAAATTTTGGGTGTTAATACTCCATTTGATTGTGTTAATGCTCAGAGTCCCAGGTTATATGAGTTAGGGAGGTGCTATCCTGGTTCAAACAGTTCTGGGATTCCTGCTACAGGAAATAATGTCAGAATGCCGCATGTGACATCTGATTTTTCCTGCAATGGCATAGGCTTTAGTGAATCTTTGCGATTCCAAAAGGTCTTGCAAGGTCAAGAAATTCTTCCAAGCCAACCATATGGCAGAGCTTTGTCAATTGAGGAGGCTCATGGAAATGGTCGTTTTGGACTTTTTGATGGTTATCAATTGCTTAGCTCTAGAAATGGATGGTCTGCCCAGGTGCATGATAATGCTTCACATTTGCATGCATCTGTTACAACTGGACAGGTGTCATCTCCCTCATCTGTGTTGATGTTCCAGCAAGCAGTTAACCCAATTTCAAACTGCGATTATAACAAAAAACGCAATCAAGAAAGGTACCAAGGTTCATACACACCAGAAGTGAAAGGTAGAACATTTGCATCTTCCCCACCTGGGGATACTATTTTCCCAAGGCGAGCACAGGAAGGCACAAATTCTTTTGGTATGTTAAATGTTCATAATCAGTTGGCTGGTTCACGGTTACATGAGTCAGTATCAGCACTGAGAAGCAGCCAAGAGTTGGTTTCCTCGTGTAAAAGTAGCTGCAGACTCTTTGGTTTTTCATTGACTGAGAACCCACACATTGCAAACAAAGAGGCTGATGCCACATCTACCATCACTTGTCCATTGAATTCTGGACCGTCCTTTACTCGGCTTGTTGAGGATGAGTTCCACCCTGGCCACTCGCACCGGAGTAAGGCAGTTGGAAGTAACTGTGCCAAAGTAAGTGATATATGTATCCTATCCTTGAACATGCAGGAAGTAGTTATCACATCGTTCACACTGATTTTTGATATCTTTGCAGGGTGTATTGCAGTATTGATCTGAGAATCATGATGTGCTCAAGCAGTATGACACTGGCATGAGATAGCTGAAGAATGGGTCCATAGTTTGTATTGGTTATGTGCTTTGCTATAATATATTTGGATTTCAGGAAAGAGGAAAATTGTTATTGTTGGCCATATTTGGGCAATTTTATCTTATGTTGGCTATGACCAGATTGAAGTGCTTGTGTATTAATCATTTATGCATACTCAATGTGACCTGCAAGAGATGCACTCGTGTAAAACTATTGTGGTAATGCTATGCATCTTAATCCTTCTGCGATCTATACAATACAAAATCTAATTACTTTTTGTGAAGACTCGTGGAATAACAAGTTTTAGAATCCAAATCAATGTTTTTTTACTGACAGTAATATGGTAACGGATGTTTCAGCGCAGGGTCTGATCAAATGTTTACATAGACTAATCAAAGAGGCAGTGCAAAAGTGTTGGGGCATGCCTGTTTACGAAGACAGTTTCTACACAGGCATGGAAGTACATAGTTTTTCTTTTTAATGAGAGTATATTAAGTATGCTTATTAACCTATATGGTGATTGCAGGTGTGAAATTTTAGTTTAGTTAAATGTCATTGTTGCAAAGTAGGCTTTTGAGTTTGAGTGAGGTAAAACTTTTCATAGAACATATGATAAATAAATAGGTCAACAAATAATTTTAAAAGTTAATAAGAAAGTTAAACTATGATAAAAACAGTCGTGACGCAATCCATATCTAACTAGCCTTACTAAGTTCCAAGCATTGAGAGGAACCAACAAAATGTAATTTCAGTGTACTATTATTGTAGATATTTACTAGTTTTTATAATTTCTCAACAAAATTACCATTGAAGATTATTTTTATTCCTATCTATATGCTGTACTTGTAATGCAAGCGTTGATTAAGCTTACCATCACAAGTACCCAAGAGTTATCAGTTCCTTATCCTAAAATTTGATATTCTAAAAAAGAAAAGAAAGCGTGCATAACAGTCCTAGTCGGAAACAGTGAAGCAGCCCAACATTTTAATTACTTATCATATTGTACATGTAACCATAAACTGAATTGTGTACCGTTAAAATGGCAGGTATAACTTTCGGTTGGAAGTTGGGACTAAATGCCCTCCAATTATTAGTGTAACCATGACGTGAATGTTTCCGCATATATCTGGCCTATAGACAAAAAAATAAACGCGCACCTAGCTTGATTAAGATAAAAGAAAGTGTCAACTTTTTCTTGGAATCGTGATATTATTGAAAATCTGTAATATCAAATTTCAGTTAACTTAAAAAAACAACTAGCACCACCTTTTTTTGGTCAACATGTAGAGTCACATTATTTATTTGGTCGAGACATGTAGCGTCACTTTAAATTTGACATGTAACACATTTTTTCCTTGGTCCATAAGAAAAACTATGTCCAGGTTTTGTTTTTTTTTTTTTTTTGTCCAAACTATGCACAGGTTTTGAAATGAAGTTTTGACGGGGTGTAGGTAGTAACTCCTTCCTCTGCCTTTGATTTATTTGATGAATTCATAAAAGATTAAAAGTTTTTGCATACTGTCATTACAAACACCATTAGAGAATTGGTGAAGTTCAGAGCTTGATTCCTCAACTTCTAATATTCTAGTACCCTATCTTTGCAACAAGAGTAAGTTTTACTACTAACATGATCTCACTCTCTTCCATTGTGTTCATTTGCACTAAAGAAGTAAGAATGATTCTTATGTATGTTAAACATGTTGATGCTTATTTTCAGACATTGACATTCGTATTAGGTGGAACCAGTTATCTCCAAGATTTGGACATGTTCAGGCATATATATGTTAAAGCATGCTCCCGCTTATTTTCAATGATTCTTAATGCAAACTTAGTCAAATGCATTTTCCACTTTCCTTTCTCTAGCATGACTATGCATACTTTTTGAGTGTAATAACACTTCCAGAGTCCCCTTAAAACTCTACTAATCATTCAAACTAGATCCTTCGGGCATCTGGCCTTCTTCTTTACTGCCTTTGGGCCTTTTCATTTGGATCTGATCACTAGGAACAAATCCCTTATAGCTATGGTCTTAGACGTCCTCTTCATGCCCACTGATCATCTTCTAATACGGTTTTGTATTAGTAAAAAATATCAATGTGTCTACCAATTTACAAAGGATTTGATCCATGCACCCTAAATGGAGTGTGAAAATTAAAATGGGTGAAAAAAAGATAAAAAAAAAAGAAAGAAAGATAGGACAAAGAACATGATAAATAGAAGTACAAAAAACAGGTGTTAAAGAACTTGAATTGATTCACGCATGTTCTTAAAAGTTACACGTGTTTTTTCTATGTGATGTAAAAATAAATTTTGTTTCGTTGATTAAAAACAAATTAAAATATTTTTTCCGCATATTTATTTTAATTTAAAAATAATAAATAAATACATATTAATTTATTGTTTGTATTAATTTTAAAATAATAGTAAAATAAAATGTTTTAAAAGTTAAGGTAGACAGATGCATCAATGTTAGTGTTGAGTAAAGTTTCTACACATTTATTCCTTTTTACACATTTATTCATTATTATTGAATAATTTTAATTTTTAATAATTAATATAATATAAAAAATAATTTTAATTAAAAATAAACTTGAAATATTGTTTTTTTTTCAAAAATTAATATATTTACTACATGTAATATTTTTTTAATATTTATAATTTAGTTAAAAAAATTCTTATAAAAAATTGAAAGGAGTACTAAACTTATTTCAGGTTAATTTGGATACGTCAAAACTAAATTCTACTTTGATACGTTGACTTAATTAATGTAGGCATCTAAAATTTGGCAGAATGATTTTGGTCAATAACTAACTGTGAAGTTTCATTGAATGTTCTAAGAATTAAAATTGTAGGCTCCTTAGGAGTTAATTTCTAGCAAGGCTATTGTTTTGGTCGACTACCTTCATTCATTGAACATATGCTCAAAGCAATTAATTGCAATATCATAAATACTTGAGAGTTATATATTATCTGTCGGTCAAAATTATGCTATTAGCATTAGCGTGTCATTATTATTAAGTCTTATGTGACATTAATTACTCTTCGAATGTATATGATCATGATTCATAAGTTTAGTTTGATTTAATTAATCAATTTTTTCAATTAAAATTAATTCATAAGTTTTTCTTTGAATAAAATCACATCAAATAATTCATAAATTAACAAAATAATAATGATGATAATAAATAACAAAAATATTAACCATTATTTTTTTAAAAGTAAAACTAAAGTCTATTTACTTATTTTATGTTTTAAATGAAATAGAAAAAAATATGTTTGGTTGAGTTTTATAAAATATTTTTTTAAACAATTATTTTTAAAATTTAGCCAAAATTTAAAAATGAAAAAAAAACTTGCTTTCAACATTTTCTTTTAAAATAAAAATATTTAAAAACAAAAATAAAATTACAGTGACATCATTATAAATATGATCTAATTTTAATTAGATCTTATTATATTCACTTATAGGTATTTTGTTTTGTTACACCATCCTTCTATCAATTCTTTTAAGATTCAACCTTGCAACCATACTTTCTATAAAATTTAAAGACTTTGATTTCTCATAAAATATCTTTTGTCTTTTTCACTCAATTGTGCACTTCTCTTTGTCTTCTTTGTTGAGGTGTTATTTGTCGTAGTGATTTTTCCTTTTTTCTTTCTCTCATTTCTTCTTTATATTTGTTGCTCCTCCTTCTTGTCTTCTTTCTTCTTTTTCTTTCATAATTTTTTTCATTTTTTGTTAAAATATAGTGTGACAGTTTCTTACTTTCACCATTCTTACAATATTAGAAATTTATTTATTTTTTTGTCTCTTTTCGTTGTTTATTTCCTTCAATTTTCATAGTTTTTGTCATTGAAATTTTTATGAACATTATTCTTTTCTTATTTTTCCTACATATGAGTTTTTCAATTTTTGTATAATTTTGGCATCATTATCTTTCTTAAACCAATATTCAATTTTTGTATAATATGGATGTCATCCTCTGCATGAGTCTTGTAGAAATAGTAATTGTGTTGATTGATCTGTATATAAATATGTTGGTTAATAAAAATTGAAAGAAACAAAAGAAATTGCTTTCAATTTTAGCAAGACTTTGTTCCAAGAAAAATTGAAACATATTTTCTTAATAATAAATTATCACTTTATTTATAGGTTATTTATTTATTTAGAATATTTATTTTAAAATTAATTAATAATATTTTTTGTTTTCATATGTTTGTTTTATATAAAATTATTAGCCAAAGAGTAGAGGGAAAAGTAAGGAGGGAGAGATCATGGAATGGATAACAAAAAATACAAAAGTTTTCATTAGTGTAATTTATGAACTGAGTAAAAAAAATAAAATTACAAAGATTTACATTTAAGATAACAATTTGAAAATATATAAATAATTAGTTACTCAATAAAATTAGAGCAAATTATAGTGTAAACAAATTGAAGGAAAAATTCAATTATTTACGACTTCAACATTATAAATTTTTAACTTTGTTATATCTCACACAGAGTTATAAGAAATTTTGAAGGTAATAAAGTAAATATTTATAGGAAGATTTATATATATTAAGTTGATTTTTTTGTTTTAAAATAATATCAATATCTATATAATATTACTTTAATGTATAAATATTTTTAATATGAAAATTGTTCATTCATTATTTGTAGAGAGGAAGTTCTACAAACAATTTAAAAAATATGAATTTGAGGATGACTATAATATACTTGACGAAATATTCAATTATAGTATAACAACTAAAAAATTGCATCTAGTTTCTACAAAAAAAAAGGCGTTCATATTGATTATGAAACTATTGACTTTGATGGAGATGATTTGCAAAAACTTAACAAGAAAAAAAAGAAAGCTATAAAGATCTTCAAGTGAGTGTCAATATAAAAGTTCAAAATTTCTAAAGTAGATAAGTTAGAAAGAGATTTAAACTAAAGGACTAAATCAATTATTATAAAAACGGAAACAACTAAAGCAAAAGTGGAAGCATAAAAAAAAAAAGAAATAAACAATATAAAGTACAAGCTAATCAAACTTTTAGTCGAGTAATTGATCTTACTATACGGAGGCATGCATAATTTTATTGGACTCCATGAAAGATATCACCTCTCAAATTTTCAACTAAGCATAGAGAAGTTTACGAAAAAAAATTGAAAGATCATGTTAATCAATATGTCTTCAATTAAGAGGAAGAATTTGCCGACATCTCTAATTTTAATAACTCAATCAATTATAAATTTAATTTATTTTTCATGGAAAATATGTTAACTAAACTTATTACAACTAATTTTTTACTAACAATTAATACTACAATTAAAATTAAAATTTTAAATATTTTTTAAATTTATGCTATGTGTTAAAGTCTGTGAAGTCTCGTTTTAAAAAAATAATATGTATAATAATTAAGAAAATAATTTTTAAAAATATATTATTTAAATAAAAAAGTCGGATTCCAACGGTTTTTATAATTTAAAGAGAGAAAAGACATGCGGATGGGTTACGATGATTGACATCCATAGAACTCAATTATCAGGCAGTCAAGCCAATTACAACTTAGCAAATTTCTTCTGATCTTCTATTCAGTTTTCTACATTTTTAATCTCTTACTTATATCGCCCTTCAGTACCTGGCTTTTATAATCTCTTACTTATATCGCCCTTCAGTACCTGGCTTTTATCAAATTAAATACCTGAACTTAGAATCATTAATTGGATTTCTTAGGTTAAGTTTCGTAAATGTTTCATAATGAAATATTCTTTATTTCTGTTAAAAGTATAGAAATTTATTTAAAATTTAAAAAAAATTATTGAATGATTAAGTTAGCAACTTTATATCTAAATTACTTATAATTTTTTGAATAAATCCTTATACATTAACAATGATAAAGAATTTCTCATCCTATTTGGCAGAACTTTAACCGAGGAGCTTAAATAAAAATGGTTTACAAGTTTCTAGTTTCAAGTTTCAAGTTTACAAACTTAATTTCTAGTAACATTGTATGACTGCAGAATAAATTTAACCTGAATTTCACGTTTGATCAAGAACATGTTCATCATACACAATTACGAATAATTGTTTGAGCGTTATGTGTAAATTACTGCATTTGTCTTGAATTGCACTCCTGAAAGAGATGGGTGTTGACAAGTAATAAAGCTAATCAACAATTCTTGTGGTTGATTATGTATCCTTTTACTCTTCCCTAATTTTACTTTATTCAATTACGCGTTTATTTACTATTCTAATTTCAATTTAATTTTGGTTAGTCTAATTAATCTTATGGTGTGGCTCAGTAGACGTCACACCTGGCGCAACAAATGGAAATTGGTTGGTCATGTTTTGATATGTGACATCATAGTACACACATTATATTGACAATAGTGCACACATTACACTTACCAGAACGAGACACATTATTATAAGTAGCTAGTTCGCATATAGTTGAGGTAAAAGATGGCCAATGATTCAGAAGCAACTTTAGAAAGCACACCAACATGGGCTGTGGCAACAGTTTGCTTCATATTGACAGTAATCTCCATTCTTATTGAGCATTTGCTCCATCTTTTGGGCAAGGTATATATAATATTAATTGATACTCGCGGAACTCAAACCCACACACGGATCATGCATTATTCGTGCTTCTTTCTTCACTTATGCTAAGTAATAATAAAGGGCATAGTATAATTCTTTCATTTTCTTCAGTATTTCAAGCGGAAAAGGAGGAAGTCCCTGATTGAGGCTCTTGAAAAGATCAAATCAGGTTAGCATTTTAGAGAGAAATGAGTTGGTATTGATAATTTTTCTTTTCCTCTTATGTTTAAGATAAACGAAGTGATAATTTGCCTATTTTAATTCGTGTAGAATTGGTGCTCCTGGGTTTCACATCTTTGTTGCTAACTGTAAGCGAAAAACAAATTGCAAATATTTGTATTCCAAAGAGTGTTGGTGAAACTCTTCTTCCCTGCGCAAGCATGACTTTTGACATTGCTGAAGAAGAAACAAAATGTGCAGACAAGGTACTAAAAAGTAAATGCATGTGTGCCGTGTGCCTGTGTATCTTCAATGTTTTGTATTTGGAAACACGTTGGAAAACTTATAAACATAGATTTAATGCAGAAGATATATTTAGTAGTACTAAAATAAACGCGAATTCACATGTATTTGAACAGAAAACAAATATGCTCTTAGTTTTGGAGTAGGAGGTTGGAATGGAACCTTATGAGAATGGCTTAGAACATGCATGTACATGCATATATGCATCGTATAAGCATGATTTGGAAGAAAAAGCAAAAGGGGTTTGAGACTTTTTGTAAATATCAAAATTTTGCTTTTATACTTGCATGTTTGATTTAGTTTATTTTACAGAAATAACTTATTCTTATTAGCTTTCTAGGTTAAATTTTAAAAAAAGAGTCGATTATTTTTCTTTCCTTTATTTTTTAACCAAACATGCTATCAATCTTTGGGTGCTGCATGTGTCCACAGGGGAAATTATCATTGTTGTCCAGGAATGGTGTCCGAGAGCTGCAATACTTCATCTTTTATTTGGCTTTGTATCATGTTATTTCCTGCATCCTCACCTTTAGTCTTGGAATGGCCAAGGTGATTAATCTTTCTCTCAAGCCCACTTATCATTTTTCCTCCTTTCAAATTCACTTCTACACCAAGTTGAGGGTTTAACTTGAGCTAGGAATACAAGGCAAAATATTTAATATAAAAGTGACATCTTACTATCTGCGATTAAATTCCTAGCTCGTAAAGGGAAGTTGGACTTGTGTTTGGCAAATTTACCATTGCTTGTGACATGTGAATATCTTTTTCCACACGCAGATGAGGCGGTGGGAGAAATGGGAAACAGAAACAAGAACATTGGACTATCAATTTTCATATGGTATAGAAGTCTTCCCATATTTGCTGAAGAGTTTCGTGTAGGGCCCCATTGGCTATGACTTGTCCAAAAAAATCTATAATCATGACATAATACATGATATAATATAACAACGTCTCAATCTTCATGAATGTAATATTTGTACAGAGCGTGAATATCCTTCTTTTGAAAAGTAACAATACATAGATGTCTTTGAAAATTTTAAATAATAAATATTTATATTAATCATCAATAAAAAATATGTGTATAAAACTTTAAATTTTGAAAATGTAGATCCACGGAGGTTTCAGCTCACTCATCAGACATCATTTGGGAAGCGGCATCTTAATTATTGGAGTAATAATCCAGTACTGTATTGGCCTGTAAGTTCAATTATTGGAGTGACAAAACTTGTTTAGCTGGTAATTAATCTATCTTCCACTGTCATTATTTAGTTTTTTCTTTTTTATCTTTACCCTTTTAATTTGTCCAGGTCTGTTTTGTTAGACAATGTTATAAATCTGTCTCCAAGGTTGATTACTTCACTCTTAGACATGGATTCATCACGGTAATGCAAAATTTTTATTATAACTTTTTTTAATGTTCAAAATATTCATTATACAAGTTTTGGGCTGTATTGAACTATTTTGTTTTTGTCATGGGTGTTACAACAAAATTATATTGAATTTTTTATATAAATTTAAGATATTAGTAGTAAAATTACTTATTTATTGTATACATTGTATACTATACCATGAATAACTAATTCTTACGAATGAGAAGTTAAATATTCAATAACGAGGAATTAAGTCTTCTTTATACTTAATCATGCTTTTTCAATTTTAAGTTTTCAATGAGACAAAATCTAAAAAGTAATGAAATGTATTTCTATGACAACAAAAGAAAACTTTGTTACACTATTTATTAATCTTACACACCTTCTGAACTTAAAGGTGAGACTCACTATTTTTTAACAAGATCAATATTAAATGCATGTACTAATATCTAATTGTTCAATGTGGGCTGTACTATTATCCTAGGCCCATTTTGCAGAAGGAAGTAACTTTGACTTCCCAAAATATATAAAACGAGCTTTGGAAAAAGATTTTGAAGTGATCGTGGGAATAAGGTACCCCTATGAATTCAACTGTTGGATGTCTTTTTCTAATTCTAAAACTTGTCAGAAATATAATTATATTTTGTGAGCATATTGTTACAGCTGGTGGATTTGGATCTTCTCAGTACTTTACATATTTTTCAATGCAAATGGTAAGCATTACACTATATAATTATGATAAAAGAAGATCCCGTGATACAAATATGCTCTATAACTATCAACAAATAATATTTTATTTCTATCTCTTTTTACCTCCTCTGCAGCATTCTCCAGCCATTTCTGGCTGCCCTTTATTCCGCTAATGGTAAGAAAAGCCTAGTACTGTAGCCCTTTTTTGTACTTTTGCCATACCTTGGATATAAAAAGGTGACATTATTTGTTTTTATGGTGTGTAGGTGTTTTTATTGGTGGGAACAAAGCTACAGAGCATAATAACAGATATGTGCTTAGATAGTCATGACAAGTCCCATGTGGTAAGAGGAACTTTGCTTGTGAGGCCCAGTGACCACTTTTTCTGGTTTGGATGGCCCAAGCTGCTTCTCCATCTCATTAGCTTCATATTGTTTCAGGTTGTTCATTAATCGATTATGCAAACCTTCAAAACTAACTTGATACCTTACAATTCTGATTCTTGGAAAAATATATTTAAACTAAGAAGTGTTTTGCATCATGCAGAATTCTTTTCAGCTGGCATTTTTCACCTGGACTTGGGTAAGTTTCTCATTTTCTTGGCTTGGAACAATAACAATATTATATATATATATATATATATATATATATATATATATATATATATATATTCCACATTAAGTGAAAATTGGTATTGAGTATTGATTCTTGGGTAAATAATTAGTCCTTGCTACTTTATTTATTTAACAATCACCTTTTAGCTGTATATGATAACGTTACTTCAATTTTCTTTTTCAAAAAAGAGAAGATAGCAACTGAGTAAGAGATCAGAATATTAACAAATCAAAATCTTAAATTAAAAGAAAATAACACGAGTACTGAAGGATTATGTTAAGTTGTGTTAAACATGGACTAAAATTATTTAATTTTGCAAGGATTTTTTTTTCAACTGAACGTATAAACATAAGAAAGAACATGTTAGAGTATGTTAGTAGAATTTCTTTTAGAAACAAATATAACATGCGTTGTTTTCTTTGAATTACAGATACGATTTGGCATCAGATCATGCTTTCATCAAGAAACTGAGAATATAATCATAAGGGTAGCTATGGGTGTTTCAGTACAAATCCTTTGTGCCTATGTAACACTACCTCTTTATGCTTTGGTTACTCAGGTACACGTACAAACCAAAACTAACAACTCTGGCATACATTATCTGTTTCTTAGAAATTTTGTCATTACGACATTTGTTCATTTGATAAAAAAGTTCTTTACGTTGTTTTCACTTTGAATGCGTTTAAATAATTATTTATTAAACACTAATAAATTCTTTTAAAATAATAACTTACTTGATAAATTTAACGATAAAATGTATTTAGATAAGTTAACAATTTATTTTATAAAGTTATACCAAAAAGTTTTTTTGAAATAAGTTAAAAGTGATTAATGACAAATTATTTTTAAGTTTTTTAATTATACCCTTAATTATCCCCTGATAATTTCTTCTGACATTTTGTTATATAAAATGCAATTTGTAACAGATGGGTACTTCCATGAGCAAAGTTGTGTTTACAGAGAATGTGATTAGAGGCATTCAAATTTGGCGTGAGAAGGCCAAGAGGAATATGACAAGGCATTCAAATTTGTCGCTGGATATTTCAATTGACTCTTCACCTTCTTTCGGGCACATGGCTGTTGACACTGTGGATGAAAACAAAGCGAGTGAACAAGAATCCGAGAATCAAGAACCAAAGCTAGGTTCATTTCACGGATTTGACACGCAAAACAGAGGAAAACCTTTCCACTCATGATCCTTAGATTCTTAGAGATATAAGCTATCAACATATTCTTAGAAATTCAAAAAGTTATATAAAATAAATATATAATTTATATAGATTAAAGTTTTATCTTAAAAATTATATTTTTTTTAAGTTTATAGTTGTAAATAATTTTTTTAAATTGGATGTTAAATAATTATGTCACACTTTTATTTATATTTTTAAGTTTTTTTTAAGTATTTTAGTTACATTGATAAATATAAACTCTTACTTATATTTTTAACTATTGTTAGCGTGGTTGATATGCCATTAACAAATATAATTTTTTACTAAATTTGTTAATGATTTTATTTTATTTTTTATTAACTCATTTGTATTTTTTTTTATAGACTTAATAAAAATTAAATTTTTAATAAATTTTGATAAACATTGATGACAAACTTTAATATTGTTAATAAATATTAAAATTATTAATGTTATTAATAATATTAATAAAATTAATATTTTTAAAAAATTATTTGCTAAGTTATTAAAATAATTTGACATCTTTAACAAACATTAACTAAAAGAACACTTTCTAATAAATTAATTGTAAAAATAATATTTTTATATCAGTTATTTTTATATTAATAATAATAATTGAGGTAAAAAAAAAATTAACTTTTTATATTGATTGTATATGCATTGATTCTTTAATCAATACTAAATATTATTTTTTAATTGAAGTTAAAAATAATTTTTATACTGATATATTTTACATTCGATTCACTTATATTTTTTTTTCTCATTCTTTATGTAAATTAGTATTTATTATGATTTTTAATGTCATGTGTTAATATTTAAAATTTATTGAGAAATGATTATTAGTTAGTAATCTTTAAAAAAAATTTATACCATATTACAATGTAAATATTATTTTTTTAGCTTATTTTAAATTTAAATTAACAATTTATACTTTATTTATTATTTTATATTAACAAATAAAAATAAAAATATCTGTACATCACACTGAAATCATTATTAATTTTATATATAATGAAATGTTATCTTTGCAAATCTTCTATTTCTTATATCGTTCACCATAATTTTTTTGATTTTTTATTAGCACATAATTCTAAATATACAAAAAAAAATGCTTTTTGACAATTATAATTAGATTATATCTTTGTAACAAAATAAACAAATAAAATATCTCAATTTATAACTTGAAAGTGCATATTTTAAATTTTTTAGTAATAGAAAGTGCCTTTAAGGTTTTTTGAAGAACCTTTTTCTTGTTCGTAGTGAGAGAAAAAGCAATGCTAATATCTATTAGGGTTGTTTTTAACCTTTCTTTTGTGATCTTCTCAAACACCACTGCGGGTTGGGTGGCCTCTTAGTGGTTGTTCAAAGGATTTTTTCCTTAGATCCCCTTCAATCAAGCAATGCATGGAGTGAACTCAGGTAGACAATTGTTATATGGAGGAGGTGGATTGATAAATCTACATTTTACTATATTTTTAGCCTAGTTTTTATTAGTAAATAAGTAGTTAAATATTAAATAAACTTAAAAATATCATAAAAATTATATTGATATTCATAATTGTGTAAATATATTAGAATTTTAGATTTTATTCTAATTCTGAATAATTCTGCTTCAAAAGACTTAATTTTGTACAGAAGCTTGACCTGGAGACTTTTAAGTTGAAGATTGAAGTGAAGAAAGTATAAGAATTGAACTTAAAAGATCAAGAATCAAGTATTATATGTTGGGCGTAGCAACTTTGAGTGCATAGAGTTAATACTTTGAAGAAAAAAAATCAATGAAGATCAATTACGTAACAACTCTAAGTGTTAAAAGTTATCATTCTAGCAATAGAATTCATAAAGGTCTTGCGTGTAAACACTCTACCTAGCAAGAGTAGCCATGCCCAAGACTAATTTGCCCAGAAAGATTGTGTGTAATCACTCTTACTACTGAAAGTAGCTACGCGTAGTTGCGCATAACTACTCTTGCTACTGAAAGTAGCTACGCGCAACACAGATTCACACAAAACACTTGTGCGTGGCCACTCTTACTACCTAAAGTGTTTACGCAAAATAATGAAATTTTGGAAACCGCTTTTAAGTGTCAACTCTGGATGTTTGACATTCCTACTTCAGTCCTAGAAGCTTCTGAAAGGTCTTCTATATTATTACTCTCAGTAATTAAAGTGTCAACGTGGAAAGAGGCAGGAAAAAAAATCTAAATAGTAGTTAAGAGTTTAGATTTGGAATCTTTTGTCATTTTTTCATATTCAATTATTTTAACTTCCAAGGAGAGTTAGAGAGAGGGATTGGGAGCGACTTTCAAGCTTTATTTCTAGAGGAATCAAGGTGAATATTGGGTTTTAGAAGATGTTATTCTGCTTCTTCTCTTGCTTTTCCTTCTCTCTTTGTAATGTTGTTCTAAACTTCTTTGTTAGGGATTTATGGATCTGAAATGGATGTATTGATTTGATTTTTGATTATGAACTTTGAGTGTTTGATTGGATTGAATAGTTAATTCTGTTACTAAAGTAAATCTTTGAATGGTAGTTCAATTGATTAATAAAGGAGGAGCCTTTACTAATGGAAATTAGATTTGTTTATCAGATTTGAATTGATTACCAAAATTATTGATTTCTTAGGAATAAGTGATCTTAATTTTGCAATCTTAAGGTTCTAATTAGTAATGCAACATTGAATTAAATTTTGCCTAAGGAATTATGATGATTTAGTTGAATGTTAGGGTCAATGAGTTAAGGAATTAACCGAATTAACCTTTGACTAATGATATGCAAAACTGATTGCCAATCAATCAAATGCTTGAATGTTTAGAGGCATAATTGAGTTAATACTGATATTTTGGTGAAATAAATTCTTAACTCTCATCTATTCATATCTCATTTCAACAAAAAATTTCGTAACTCTATTTTACAGCATTTTCATTGTTTCTTATTGTTGTTATGTTTTACTTTTACATATAGCAAATTCTAATGAATTGTTTGGCTCAACTAATTGTCAACTTGTGAAGTGGTAATTGAAAACATGGTCCTTGTGGACGATACTTGTGACTTATATTAAATTTCAAATTTTTTTTACTTGTTACAACTACCTAGTACACTTGCTAGTTAGTAAGTACATGAATATATTGCTGTATCTGGAAAGTAACAAGTTTTTGGCGTCGTTTTCGAGGATCTTAGTATTTTCAATATCATTAGTAGTAAGGAGACAATTAAATTGAGCTATTTGTTTTCTATTTTCCTTTAATTTATTTTATAAAGTTGGAATTCGTATTAATTTTTGATAGTTTTCTGTACAATTTTGCTATTCAGTTTTATATAAAACTTTGTAATATTGCATTTTGTGTTTGGAATAGATGTTTACATGCTAGTCTACTCTCTTGATTTCTCTTAGAATATTTTGTAGTGAAATTTTTACATTATTCTGTCCTGTGTTCTGATCATTTTCAAGTGTTTTTGCTTATGTTTAGTTTTCTTGTGTTTGATTCAGATATAGATAGAACATTAAGAAGACTGAGAAACGAAGTAAGAGCAAAAAATTTAGCAAGTAAGGAGCAAGAATTAGAATTTACACCTTCTACTCTTAAATTTGAAGAACTTCAAATTCCTTCTCCTACACCACTAACACCGCAAAAGAAGATAATGACTGAATAGAACAGGCTGAGAACTTTAGGGGATTATGTAGTGCCTGCCTACCATGTAGGGCTACAACTCTTCTATAGTCAAACCAACAATTCAGGCCAACCATTTTGAAATAAAACCAGATTTACTTCACTTAGTTTAGCAAGATCAATTTTCTGTTTCAATTTTAGATGACCCTTACTTACACATTTCTAACTTTTTGCAACATTGTGACACAATTAGGATGAATGGAGTCAGCGAAGATACAGTTCAATTGATATTGTTTCCATTTTCTTTGAGAGACAAAGTTAAATGTTGGCTGTAAGCTCAACCACAAGGAAGCATAACCACATGGGCAGACCTTGTCAACAAATTCCTTATCAAGTATTTTTCTCCATCTAAAGCTGCCAAATTAAGAGGAGAGATCACATCATTTGCGCAGCAAGAAGAGGAATCATTATATGAGATGTGAGAGAGATATAAAGAGCTCTTAAGGAAGTGTCCACACCATTGCATATTAGAATGGATGTAGCTGGAAACTTTCTATAATGAAAGGAGTCCAGCCACTAAAACCGGTTGATGCAGTTGCGAGAGGATCTTTAAATACCAAATCTCTAGAGGAAGCTCATAGAATCATTGAAATGATGGCCTCATCCATGTATCAAAATTTTAATGCAAGATATTTTACAAGGAACAATGGATGTGAAGCTAAAATTCTTGAGACTTTTTTTGTGCAGAACTAGCTGCAAAATCAAATATTTTCAAAGCAAATTGCTGCACTAACTCAGCAAATCAACAATCTGCAAGCTACACTAATTTGGAATATTCAACTTATTTTTTATTTTTGTGGAGGAAACCATACTAATGGTACATGTGATTCACCTACAACTGAACCACAAGAGCAAATCAACTATATGAAAATTTTTCAGAGATAACAACCTTCATTCCCACCTGGTTTCTAGTATCCTAATAATAGAAATCAACAGTACTTTAATTGAAACTCTCAAAATTCTCCTATAAAGAATTCTAATTTTGCTATTACTTTTTCTAGTGCAGGTCCAGCAGCACAATAACCATATTTTTAAGGGAATCCAGCCATGCAACTTCAAAGTAATAAAAAAATTTTCAAATCTATGACTGAAAAGTTGAGTGAAATGGAGGAGATTATGTTGCAATTCATGAAGGTAACCCAAACAAACTTCAAAAATAAAGAGTCTTCCATAAAAAAACTTAAAACTCAAATAAGACAGCTAGCTGAGCAACTGTCTAGCAGAGATGAAAGAAGATTTCCTAGCAATATAGTTGTCAATCCTAAAGAGCAATGTCAAACTGTAATGATTAGGAGTGGAGCTGTGGTGAGGAGTCCCAAACCTGTTGAAAAAAAGAGCAAATAATTTTGATGTAGAGGAGAAATTGAAATCTGGTTTGGATGAAAGAAAATTCATTCTGCTAAAGAGAGAAAATTCAGAAAAAGAAAAAAAAATTCTCCAAAGGCTGTAAGAAGGACAAAGAAACAAATACTTGAAAAAACAAACCAGCCTATTGATAAAGAAAGATACAAGAGACTTCCTTATCCTTAAAGAGTGCCTAATTTGAGAAAAGAATAACAGTTTGAGAAGTTTCTAAATGTCTTCAAGAAAATAAATATTCCTTTTGCTAAAGCTCTTGAACAAATGCCCTCTTATGCTAAATTTATTAAGGAGTTGTTATCTAAAAAGAGAAAACTTGAGAATGATAAAACAATCCCTTTGACTGAAGAATACAGTGTTGTATTGCAAAGGAAGTGGATGTGGATGTCGATATTTCTTTGATTTTGGACAGACCTTTCATATCCACCGGGAGAGCTTTAATTGATCTCCAAAAATGAGAGCTTATGTTAAGAGTGCAAGATGAAAAGGTTATTTTTAATGTATTTGAGGTACTCAAGCATCCTAATGATGATACCACTTGCATAAGGGGTGATATTCTAGATTCTATTACTTTCCCTCATTTTATTGATGATGCTAATGAAATTTCATTATTAAGGGAAACTATAGTTGCAGGGAATTCACAAGTTGCTGTAAAAAAAGGAGAACATTTGATAGAATATGCGCAACGGCTAGATACCTTACCAATTTTCCCTTCTATAGAAAATCCAGCAAAGGAATAATTGAAAAATGAAGCAAAAGAGGACGAGGCTAAGAAACTTGACCTGAAACAATTGCCTTTTTACTTGACATACTCTTTATTAGACCAAAAACATGAAAATTCAGCGATTATTAGAAATAATCTTAACGGAGAGGAGGAAGAAAAGTTGTTGAGAATTCTTAGAGCTCATAAGTCCGCAATTGGCTAGCATATTTCAGATTTGAAGATCATAAATCTAGCCTTTTGTAAGCACATAATTCTGTTTGAAGAAAATTATAAATCAGTGGTACAACTATAAAGAAGATTAAATCCAGCTATGAAAAAGGTGATGAGGAAAGAAGTGATGAAGTTGCTGGATGCAAAAATTATTTATCCAATTTCGGACAGTCAATGGGTTAGTCTAGTCTAAGTTGTCTCAAAGAAAGGAGGGATGACCATTATGCCTAATGAAAAGAATGAATTAATCCCTACAAGGACAGTTATGAGCTTACGCATATGCACTGATTATAGAAAATTAAATGATTCAACCAGAAAGGATCATTTTCCACTATTATTTGTTGTTCAAATGTTAGAGAGGTTAGCTAGTCATGCATTTTATTGTTTCCTTGATGGATATTCCGACTACAATCAAACAATGGTGGATCCTATGGATCAAGAGAAAACTGCATTTACATTTCCATTTGAATTTTTTTTTATAGAAGAATGTCATTCGGATTGTGCAATGCTCCCACTACTTTTCAAAGGTATATGCTGTCCATTTTTTTAGATTTAGTAGAGAAAATTATTAAAGTATTTATGGATAATTTTTCTATTTTTAATAACTCTTTTGATGATTGTTTAGCTAATTTGTCTATTGTGTTGTAGAGGTGTCAAGACACTAATCTTGTTTTAAATTGAGAAAAGTGCAATTTCATGGTTTAAGAAAGAATTGTCCTTGGCCATAGAATTTCTGAAAAAGGAATGGAGGTGGACCAAGTAAAAATTGAAGTTATTAGTAAACTACTTCCACTAATTAATGTGAAAGGAGTTAGGAATTTTTTAGGCCATGCGGGTTTTTATAGAAGGTTTATCAAAGATTTTTCAAAAATTACAAAACCTCTTAATAATTTACTTGTGAAGGATGTTGCCTTTGAATTTGATAACTCTTGTTTGCATGCATTTTTTGTTTTGAAGGAGAAGCTTATTTCTGCCCCTATTTTTGCAAAACCTAATTAGAATTTACCTCTTGAATTAATGTGTGATGCAAGTGATAATATAGTAGGTGTTGTTTTAGGATAGAGAAAGGATAGAAAACTACATGTAATATATTATTTCAGCAAAGTTCTAAATTCTGCAAAAGTAAATTACACAACTATTGAGAAAGAACTTCTTGTTATTGTGTTTACTTTTGATAAATTTAGATCATATTTGATAGGATCAAAAGTTATAGTCTATATTGATCATTCTACCCTCAAATATTTGTTGTCTAAGTAGGATGTCAAGTCAAGATTATTGAGATGGATTTTGCTACTGCAGGAGTTTGAGTTAGAGATTAAAGATAAAAAAGGAAAGAAAAATGAGGTAGTTGACCATTTGTTTGGACTTCTATTAGACAACCTCACTTCTAATTCCTTGGATATCAATGAGGAATTTTTAGACGAAAAACTCTTATTTGTAGAAGATCTGCCTTGGTTTGCTGATATAGCAAACTTTAAGGCCACTCAACTCCTTCCAAAAAGGTTCACTTGGCAGCAACGAAAGAAATTTCTACATAACAAATTCTATGTTTGGGAAGACTCTTATTTATTCAAAATTGGGATAAATGGTCTATTTAAAAGGTGTATCTCACAAAATGAACAAGCTGAAATATTGCGGCATTGTCATAATTCAGAATATGGAAGCCACTATGGAAGTTTAAGGACTGCTGCAAAAGTCTTGTAAGTAGGATTTATGTTGAAAGTTGTGACAAATGCCAAAGGATAGGCAACATTTCTAGGAAGCATAAACTGCCATTAACAAATATTTTGGAAGTAGAATTGTTTAATGTATAGGGGATTGACTTCATAAGACCTTTTCCTACGTTTTTCTCTCACGAATATATTCTTGTGGTAGTTGATTACGTTTTCAAGTGGATAGAAGCAATTCCAACAAGGACCAATAAAGCCAAGGTGGTAATCTCCTTTATTAGAAGAAACATCTTTGCTAGATTTAGAGTACTCAAATTTTCAATAAGTAATGGAGATGCCTATTTTTATAACAAACACCTTGAATCAGTTCTTGCAAAGTATAGAGTGAAACATAGGGTGGATACTCCCTAGCATCCATAGACAAGTGGACAAGTGGAAGTGTCAAACAGAGAAATTAAGCAAATTCTAGAAATAGTAGTGAATAATTCAAGAAAGGACTGGTCAAAAAAATTGGATGACTCTCTATAGGCATACATAACTACTTTTAAGACTCCAATTGGCATATCACCATACCAATTAGTCTTTGGAAAGGCATGCCATTTACCTGTTGAGTTAGGACATAAAGCTTATTGGGCCACTAAATAGCTAATTTTGACTTAGTCAGTGCTGGAGAGAAAAGACTGCTACAGCTGCATGAGTTGGAGGAATTCAGGCAACATGCTTACGAAAATGCCAAGCTATTATAAAGAGGGAACCAAGAAAATCCATGATAAATTCATTATGAAATAGAGCTCAGACTTGGAAGTTCTATTATTCAATTCAAGGTTGAAATTATTTTCGGGAAAGCTTAGATCAAAATGGTATGAACCTTTTCTGATCATGGAAGTATCTCTCTTCGATGCAATCTTAACTGAGGATTAAAAGATAGGAAGAGAGTTCAGGGTCAATGGTCAAAGGTTAAAAGTTTATCATAGAGAGACATTTACTAAGGACATATCTTGTATTAGATTGGTTTCTCCTGAATGAGAAACATGAGGCGTCAAGCTAGTGACATTAAAAGGGCGTTTGTGAGAGGCAACTCACATTTCTAACCCTTTACTTTTATTATAATTCAGTTCAGTAATTTTTAATTTTAGTTAGTTTGAATTTTAGAACTCTGCATTTTTTGAATTTTTAAATTTTGATGTAGTGGTTAATTTTGATTTCTCACAATAATGATGAACTGTATTCTGAATTTTGAGTTTATAGGTCTTGATTCAAGCATGAAGCAATAGAACAAAGTGATAAAGTTATATTTTAAAGGATGTTAATGAATTGAGTAATCACTTTAGAGAAGAGAAGTTGGACATAAAAGCTATTTTTCTGAGTTAATCATTCAAGTTAACACTTTAAGTAATTAAAGTGAATACCTAATTACTCAGAACTGTGCCTTCTCACTTGAAGTTGACACTTTATGCATATAAAGTGCTTATACAGAAGCTAATTCCCTTGAAATTCAAGTCC